GGGGAGGGGGGATAGTAGAGGATAGGAAGGGCAGCAGAATACAACAGACACTAGTATGGCAGTATGTAAAAACGTGGATGTGTAACCGATGTGATTCTGCAATCTGTATATGGGGTAAAAATGAGAGTTCATAATCTACTTGAATCAAATGTATGAAATATGATATGTCAAGAGCTTTGTAATGTTTTGAACAACTAATAATAATAAAAAAAAAAGAAAAAAAAAGAAACAAACAATCAGGAGCAATGGTGCACACCTGTAATCCCAGGGATTTCGGAGGCTGAGGCAGAAGTATCCTAAGTTCAAGGCCAACCTTGGCAACTTAGTGAGAGACCCTACCTCAAAATAAAAAACAAAAAGGGCTGGAAATGTAGCCCACTAGTAGAGTACCCCTGGGTTCAGTCCTCAATATCAAAAAATCTAAAATTAGAGAAATAAACAACTAGAAAATAAAAAATAGTACCATTTATGATGAAAATTAAAAAATAGTACCATTATGATGAAAATACAAAAATAGTATCATTTATAATAACATCAAATAATGAAATACTTAAGAGATCCATTTAACAAAATGTGTACAAAATTTCYACACTGAAAACTATAGCACACAATCAAAAGAAATTTCAAACTAAGAAAGATGTACTATGTGCCCAGATCAGATAATTCAATATCATTATCTCTAAATCAATTTTTTAAAGTTAACACAAATATTGGAGTCATGATATTCTGTTTTCTTTTCGTGTTTATTTATTTACTTGCATATTGGGAATTGAACCTAAGAGTACTCTACTACTAAACTACATCCCCAACACTTTTTTAAAAATATATTTTTAGTTGTATATGGACACAAGATCTTTATTTTTATTTGTTTATTTTTATGTGGTACTGAGGATCAAACCTAAGGTCCCATGCATCAGAGGTKAGTGCTCTACCACTGAGCTACAACCCCAGSCCCCCAGCCCTTTTTATTTTTTTAAATTTTAAGACAGGGTCTCGCTAATTTGTCTAAGCTGGCAAATTACAACTTGAATCTTTCATTCTATTCTCATTCTATTCTCTATGCAGTTGTTAGATTAATTCAGCAGGCACATTAAATTTCCAAAATCCAATTCTGCTTATATCCGTATTATGCTTAAAACCCTTTGGCTACTTCTTTTTGTTCTTAGTATAATCAAAATCCTTTTAGACTGCCTCCAAGATCCTATATTGGCTAGCACYCACCTCTCCAGCTTAATCTCATATTCTTCCCACCCTTGCTCTCTGTGTTCAAGTCACACTGGTATTATTTCAATCTTTGGAAACTCCCATGTTCCATCTAGCTACAAGTACTTTGACACAAATTGTTCTCTCTGGCTGGAACACTGTTCCTCCCACTGATGAACTCCTGATATTCCTTTAGATTTCAGTTCAGGTATCATATCCTGTACAAAGCCTTCCTTGATCAAACCAAACTTCCTTAATATAAACTCTAATAGCATTTTGTACCTCTCTTTAGCACAATGCCAATTTTTCATTTGTTGACCTAATATTTAATTATAGAAACAATCTTTTATTTAATTTTTTTAGAGAATTTTAATATTTATCTTTTTTTAGTTTTCGACAGACACAACATCTTTGTTTGTATGTGGTGCTGAGGGTCGAACCCTGGCCRCGCATGGCAGGCGAGCATGCTACCRCTTGAGCCACATCCCCAGCCCTAAACAATCTTTTATTTAGTCTATAATCTTCATGAGGACAGGGGGATTCTGTCTTCTTCCCCGGAATATACCTAGTGCCAAAAATACTGCATGGMACACAGTAGCTATATAAATATTTACAGAATGTTCATAATCACTCTTTTATATTTTTATATTTTATATTTTGTTTTGTTTATTTACTATTCTCATTTTATGTCTAGAGATGACCACAAAGCATTTGTAAATAATCAGGATCACAGCAGTGGTAGCACTGTCAGGAGTGTCATCTTTTTCGGGGTTGGAGGTAGGGTACTAGGGATTGAACCCAGGGGCAATTTACCACTGAGTCACATCCCCAGCAGTTTTTATGTTTTATTTTGAGACAGGGTCTTGCTAAGTTGCTGAGGCTGGTTTTGAAGTCACGATCCCCCGCTTCAGCCTCCCAAGCAGCTAGGATTACACACATGTGCTACTGCCGGACTCCGCTCTAGTGTCACCTTTTAAAATGGACTTAGTAAAGCTCCAAATGATAATATGCATGCTTTCTCACCAAAATAAATGAATAAATACAAAATGTATTCCATAAAATATTTTGGTATTTTAAAACTTACATTGGACTTACCTGCTCTCTTCCAAACCAACGTCAGGATCAGCTGTTTTGGGAACCTTTCTGGCAATAAATAAAGGGGCAACTTTCATTTTTCCTTAAAAAAAATAATAATAACTTCAGTTAGTATCAATGCTTATAATCTCCACTTACTTTCCGCTACTTTCAAAATTATATCTTTTTAGAATTCTAAAAATTAAAAAACAAATTCCCCCTGGTACTGAGGGGTGCTCTACCACTGAGGTGCATCCCAAACCCTTGTTATTTTTTACTGAGACAGGGTCTCACTAAATTGCCCAGGCTGGCCTCAAACATGTGATCCTCCTTCATCAACCTTCCAAGTAGCTGGGATTATAGGTGTGTGTCACCACGCCTGGTTAATTATAAAATTTCTATATAATGATCTATTCCTTCAACATGGCAATATAGGAATCTCCTTGGAAGCTTTTATTTGTAACTAAAGATTCCCACAACCTACCTCTAGAGATTCTTGTTCAATATAAATAGGAAAAGATCTAAAGCATTAATAAAAGTTTTGATTTAACCAGATAATTTTTAAAAAAATATTTTTACTTGCTGATGGACACAGTACCTTCATTTTATTTATTTATTTATTTTTTATGTGGTGCTGAGGTTCCTCACACATACTAGGCAAGTGCTGTTCCACTCAGTTACAACCCCAGCCCTTAACCAGATAATTTTGATGATCAGTTAAGTTTGGGAAACACTAACTTAAATAAATAAATATAATAGAGATGCAGTAAGTTAAAATATACTCACAGACAAACTTAAAATTGTGAACAAAGCTGGGCACAGTGGCGCACACTTGTAATCCCAGCTCCTTGGGGAAGCTGAGGCAGAATAGTGAGTTCAAAGTTAGCCTCAGCAACTCAGAGAGGCCCTAAGCAACTCAGCCAGATCCTGTCTTTAACACACACAAAAAAAAGAAAAAAAAAAAAAACCTGGGGATGTGGCTCAGTGGTTGAGTGCCCCTGGGTTCAATCCCTGGTATCAAACAAACAAACAAAAAAAAGTGAAAAAAAAAATATGACTATTTTCCTTCTGAAAGACTCTTCACTATATCAAAATTTTGCTTATTAAAAAGGAAATAATAATATAATTAAAATTATCCATTTTACAAAAGAGACTAAATTTCCATCGTGAGTACAGTCAGAATTATCTCCCCAAAGGTTCTACTATTCATTATAAATGGTGTTAAATCTGATTACCAGGTACATTTTTAGGAGACTTRTCAAGCTTTTTTCCTAGCACATCGTTCAAACACTGAAGTTTCTTCTGATTTTTCTCTGATGTCTTTAAAGAAGTAGGACTTGAATCTATTATTATAACATCCTAAGATAAAATAAGAAAAAAAATTAAATACAGTATTTCTCCTTACAGGGGATATATATTCCAATAATTCCAGTGGATGCCTAAAATCTCAAATAGTTCAACCCTACATATACTAGGTTTCTTTTTTATACATACTTATCACATACTGTTGCTGTTATTTTTGTAGCTTGAGATATGAGAGCAAAGCTAGAATGAATTTCTTTTTACTTCTTCATAATTTTCAGATAAAAAATTCCTTCTTATTTTTACCTTTTCACTTAAAATAAAAGCTTGGCTCTTTTTTGACATATTCAATTGCTAGCCTCCCTACTCTTGCACTTTGGGGCCATTATTAAATAAAATAAGGGTACYTGAACACAAGTACTACAATACTGCTTCAGATGATCTGATAACTGAAATGACTACTAGGGGCTGGGGATGTGGCTCAAGCGGTAGCGCGCTCGCCTGGCATGCGCGCGGCCTGGGTTCGATCCTCAGCACCACATACCAACAAAGATGTTGTGTCCGCCGAGAACTAAAAAATGAATATTAAAAATTCTCTCTCTCTATCTCTCTCTCTCCTCTCTCACTCTCTCTAAAAAAAAAAAATGAAATGACTACTAAATGATTAATGGGCAAGTGGTATGTAGAACATGGATATACTGATCTGCACTGTCCTAGATCAGACAGAGTGGAACAGCACAAAATTTCATTAAGCCACTCAGACCCTAATTGCTTATTTCTGGAATTTTTTATTTATTATTTCCAGACCATGATTGATCATAGGCAACTGAAATCGTTGAAARCAAACACAGGTAAGGGAGCTATTATAAATCATACAACCAATGTCATTAAAATATACAAAAGGGCTGGGGATGTGGCTCAAGCGGTAGCGCGCTCGCCTGGCATGCGTGCGGCCCGGGTTTGATCCTCAGTACCACATATAAACAAAGATGTTGTATCCGCCGAAAACTAAAAAATAAATATTAAAATTCTCTCTCTCTCTCTTTAAAAAAAATATATATATACAAAAGGTTATAGTGATAGAAACCATAGATCTGGCAATTAAATTAGCAGCTCCATGTATCTCCTACCGGACATTATTTGATTGAAAAGAAAAAACATGATAGAATGATAGGAGTATATGTTTACATCATACAACTTTATATGAGAGCAAATAGTAGTTTTAATATGACCATGGGACTTCATTTTAAAAGAAGCCACTTTTCCAAAAAAGAAGGATCAATATGGCCAAGCTATAAAAATTCTAGCCATATCCTTTTTAGAACTATACATCCTAGAAATTAATACGAAGTTTGTTATTTTCCTGTGGTCAGCATATATTTATTGAACACCTACTATATGTGAGTTCATATAGGAGGCTCTGGGAATACACAGACAAATAATACTCAATTGTCTGCTTTAAATGTTACAAAAAGGATTAGGAGAGAGAGAACTAGTACATGAGTAGATAATTTAGCTCTAACTTAGGGTGTTGAGGGCAGTATCTGCTAAAGTACAAAAACCCATGAAAATAAAATACATATAGGAAAGGAAGCTATTTGTCTCAAAAGCATCAGCACAGCTTTCAAGGAAAGGTGGTAGAATTTACATAGTATTATTTATAATAGCCAGAAAGAAACAACCCAAATGTCCCCCAAATGGTGAATGAGTAAATAAAATATAGTATAAACACGGGGAAATTATTTGGCAATAAAAAGGAACACTTAGGCTACAACATGGATGAATCTTTCTAACATATACTAATGAAAGAATCTGAACAAATAGGACCACATGTTATATGATACTATTTTCATGAAATGTTTTGAATAGGCAAGTTCATAGAAATAGAAAGCAGATTAGTATTGGCAAGGGYGGGGAAATGAGAGGATTAGGAATTGACAGCAAAGAGAGACTGGATGTCTTTTAAGGGTAATAAAAGTGCTCTAAAATTGATTATTATGAATGTATAACTGTGAATATCCTATAAGCCACTGAATTACACACTTTAAATGGTGAATTATATGGTATGTGAATTAATCTCAATAAGCTTTATTTTAAAAAAAAGAGAAGATAGTGTCACTTTAGCATAATCTTTAAGGCTGAGCAAGAAATCTCAGGTAGAAAAGAATACTTGGAATATGTATCTCAAGATGAGAAAAACACAATGAAATCAGTGAAAATTGTAMCACTTGAGGAAGAAATGAATAATTTAGTGTGACTACAGTAAAGAACTGTTTCGAAAAACGGGAAGAGCYGGTTCAGGTATGGAAGATTTTCAGTTGACTTGAGAAAGATTCAGGTTGTATTTTGTAAGCAAAAGAAAGCCAAAGGCTTCTAAAGCAAAACTGAAAAGGATATTCTGTCTTCCACTTCAAGGCTATCATATAATGCTACCTATGACCTTATAAAGTTTCTTTCTCTCACTCCAAGCAAAATAGGACAGAATTAATACTATAGATACTTATAGTACTTACTTCTGTTTTTGGTGGTTTCTCTCCTTCAGGAAGCCTCTGATGTCTAGAGGATCGCCTTAAAGGTATCACTGTTTCTTCAGTAGCCTTTGACCTACAGATGTGTAAAGCTTTTGCTTTTTCGATCAATTGTTTTGCTTTTGATATATTTTTTTGAGTTTTGCTTGCCTAGACAAAAATTTGAAATATTAATTTAGCCATGGCAAATATTTTATATTTAATAATAGAAAAAAAGTATATAATAATAGGAAAATATAATTGTAAATCAAATAACCAAGAAAGAAATGGTTATCACATCTTACTAGGAACCTTAAAATGAAATGTATGTAGTTATGATTAGTTTACTTTTCCTATTTGAAATTATCTTGATAAATATTTGCTTGTAGGCAAAACACCTAGAAGCATGTCTGTAATATAGATTAGGATTGATGGTTATTTTCTCATCATCTTCATGGCAATATATTCCTTTATTTTAGTCACCAAAATCAGGTAAAATAGTTTCCAAATACAAATAGTCACTCAGTCTACTGTATGCAAAGCTCTGAATTGGATACCATAAAAGAAAAAAACATAGTACATGAACCTTGACCTCTAGAAACTTTTATATGGCAGGGAAGAAAGTAAAAACATACTGGCAATAACATAGTATATGCTATTGTGTGTATGTATATATCTTATATATACAGAGAAAACAAGAAACACAGAAAGACAGACTGGGAGAATGATACATACTAAAAAATAGTATACATAAAAAAATAAGCCACAGGAGTTTAGGAGCAGAGAGTATTTTAGGCTGGATCCTTTGGAGTGAGGCTGAAAAGGTATTATGATATGTAAAATGGTACTAGCCAAGAATAACATCTGTCTTTCAAACGTGGCTCTGCCATTGATGTATAATGTGACCTTGTACATTCAAATATTATCTTCCAGAGAATGTGCTTCTCCATTCCGAATTCCTTGAATCTTTACATTGGGATTAAAAACATATACAAGCCAGGCACAGTGATGCACACCTGTAATCCCAGCAACATGAAGGATTGAGGGAGGAGGACTACAAGTTCAAGACTAACTTCAGCAATTTAGCAAGGTCTTAATCATTTAGCCAGACCCTGTTTCAAAATAAAAATAAAAAGTGGGTGGGGGACAGGAGTGGATGGTGCATGCCTATTATCCCAGCGGCTCAGGAGGCTGAGACAAGATGATATTGAGTTCAAAGCCAACCCCACAATTTAGCGAGGCCCTAAACAACTCAGTGAGCTCCTGTCTCAAAAAATAAAAAGAGATGGGGATATGGCTCAGTGGTTAAGCAAACCTGGGTTTAATTCCCAGTACCCAAAAYAAACAAACAAATCGTATATATAGCAAAATGCCAAAGAGTTGACTTTATGTGATTCCTTTAAAAAGAATATATCAAGGGCCAGGGATATAGCTCACTTGGTAGAGTGCTTGCCTCACATGCACAAGGTCCTGGAATTCAATCCCCCCCCCCCCCCCGAATATATCTAATCACAGAAGAATAAAGTTTAAGGAAAGAGGCTGGGGTTGTGGCTCAGCGGTAGAGCACTCGCCTAGCTTGTGTGAGGCCCTGGGTTCGATCCTCAGCACCACATAAAAATAAATAAATAAACAAAGATTTTTTTTAAAGTTTAAGGAAAATTTAACTATTAGTATTACTAGATGGATAAACACCAARCTTTTAGTGCTCTTAGGAAAACCAGTTTACTATTTATTTTCATAGAAACATGATACATTTCTCCCAGAAAATTATTAAGATTTTTCTCCTAAAGCTAGGACACAAACAGTAATAAGGCTTCTGAGAAAAATCAGTCCTCTGTTAAGAGGTTCATTGACAGACTATGAAATAAAATAATTGATCCAGACCCAATTTGGACACATTCATTTTTAAGATTTGTCTTGCTGGATTTACTGAATCCCAATTCTAAGAAATACATAGGACAAACCAACGCACAGTACTTCCAAAATTAAAGTTGGAAGTTGTCCTTTAGAATTAAATAAAAAAGATGATGTATGCAATAAAGTTGATTTCAGACTTTTAACCGTCAGCTGTGGTACAATYAGCTGGCATCTAGGGTGCTTTCCAACAGGGTAAGGATCATCTAACTACTTACAGTTATTATACCATCATTGGGCTGATAATTTTGTTGTGGAGAGCTGTGCTATGCATTTATTACAGAATGTTTAGCAGCAATCCTGGTCTCTCTAAGAAACCAGTTGCACTCCCACTCCTCTAGTGATGCCAACCAAAAATGTGCACAAACATTGCTAAATATCAATCRTAGGGAGGAAAAAAGTCACTTCCCTTGAAAAACAATTCCTCTAAAGAAATAGGTAGGAGATATATATAGATGTGTGTGTGTGTG